GGATGATTTAACGTTCATTAGAAAGCCCCATAAATTGTCGCCTCGTAGCATCGCCTTTTCAAAACTAGCATTCCAACAGCCAGCGATCATGTTGATTACCATTTATACAGTTTCCCGCTGCAGAACAACCCTTGAAAGGGTTCAACGACGGGCAACCAAGTTAGTACGAGGTCAAGGGTACCTTCTTTATGAGGCACGCATGACCAACCTTGACTTGTTACCTCGGGAGCACAGACAGCTACGCCGTGATTTTATACAGGAATTTCACATACTGTGGGTTCAGGATCGTTCCCTCGCATCCAATGATTTCTTTCACCTGGCCAGTACCACTGGATTGCGGGAACACCCTCTCAAACTATTTACTTGTGACTGGGGCAAGATTAGACCGTGTAAATTTATTCTTCTCTAAGAGAGTAATTCAGGCATGGAATGCTCTGCTTGCGGACATTGTCATCTCTCCATCTGTGGACACGTTCAAGATAAATATAGAGCAGTTTAGCCACCATATCATCTGAGTCTATCACAAAGCAAACATTACAATACAGCGCCGAATATTTGATGTTATAAAACTTGCTACTAGCTATGTTCACTAGTAATTGTCTAGAATTATCACCACGTGCTCTGCCTTGCCCACTTTGTCTCCCTGCGATCTGCGATGATTGCGTCAATCATCGCCTCCAACGAACCTCTTGGTCCTAGGCTACGCGGCCCTGTACATTTCTTCCTAATGACGGTCCATAACCGACTGCTGGGGATCTTGGTGGACCACTCTGTTAACCTCACCCAGTCGGCAGACTCGGTAACCAGCAAGGCCGTATTCTGGGCCTATCGCCGACACATCGATGATGTTCTCGTGATCTCCGAGATCTTCTCTCCATGTGAGCCTTAGGACGTGGGTAAAAACCCCGATGGCCTACTCCTGACATGCTTTAAACACTCTCAGCAGCAGCAGGCTATCCCATCTCGCATATACTTTCACCATACGAGCGACGGTTTATCTCTTTAAAATCCATCAAATGGCATTCCGAAAAATGCTTAAGAGTGTTTTTAACTGTTTGCTCTTCTTACACAGTTCCATTTACTGTCATTGTCACTCTTTTGGAATCATCTGCTGAACCAATTCATTTCATAGTTGCTTTGTGCCAATAGGGAGTTTGCATATATCTCCCCTAATAAACCTGACCTGACCTGAAAATAAACCATCGCATAGCCGATAACCTCAATAGTGCCTGCGAAAGATGTCAAAATGAAAGATATTATTTCAACACAATTATTATTCAGCAGTACAAACTTTTGTAGGTTTCGTGTGAAAGGATTCTTGCGTAAAAGCTGTCAACTTTGCCAACATCTCCTGGCGCCACACTGTCAGCGCAATGTCGCTCGTTGCATTCAAAGCGTCAAATGTCATTTGAGTGATAGTGGGAAATGTAAGGCCCGTCAGACGAAGTGTTCTGGGCTGGGAGGTTCCAAAATAATAAGTGACCGTTGTCCTGGCCGGTACGCCTGCTAATTCAACCCACAGAGATTTGCCGGTTATAAATGAAAGTTTTCCGTATCGATCTCGTCCTGGCACCTTATATTTAAGAAATCATTCAGTTTAATAGATAAAAGTACAAGTAAACAAATAAACCAGAAGCGAAATATTTGAGGCAATGGGTAGCATGGAATGCTCTATTTATCCGGGGTGACATATATGCCAGTTGCGAAACGAGCATTTTATGCTTACTCTCTTGTATAAATTAATATAAGGCTTTCTTACCATTTGAATACCACTCACAGAGAGTTGGTGAATTTCTGCTAAACAATGAACTTGCATTAACATTCCTTCCCAGAAAAGTTGCATCCCATCACAGTACGTCATTTCTACTGCTGCTAGACTGTCAATTCGAAATTTGATCCATTGAGAGTCGTCAATTTTTTTCAATAATTCCATTGGGAACAATCCGTTTAAACTGTTCTCCACAAATTCAGGGATTTCAAGGAAATTGTCGTTTTTCGTACATTTGATATTGCCTGAGCGCCAGAGGACAAAAAAGCACATTTATTTAAACCGGAAAGATAAATAAACAAGGCGAGCAAAATGGAATACCAATTTCCGACTTAAATGTTGCCCTCAACTACGTAAGCAGTAAATACTGGTTTGCGTTTGCTGGTTTAGATCGGGAGGTATTGACAGTCTCTTGTGAACGTTCACCGACTGCTTGCGGAATTCACCTGATCTGCTCTGTCCTGGATCGCATTTATCGGATCCTCACAGCAGCCGCACAGCGGCTAGTTATCGAGGCCAATAGTATTGGCGGCAAATACAGTTAACTCATTGTACCCAAGTCGGTCAAAATTGAACTTACCGAATGGATTGAAACAGGCAGAAACAAAGCACAAAAATGCAGACAGGCACTTTACGCTCAACCACATTGCGTACGCGACCTCAAAACAGTCTCTTCAATCGGGCGTCTTGTATATATTATACACCAATTCACCAATGAGTTTCAGTCAATTGTGAAAATTACAGCTCCTCCAATTAGCTTTGTTTGTTGTTACGAAGGCTGAACCGTGACTATGGGAAAGGAGATTGGGCCTTAACCCTTCTGTGGTGCCATGCCATGAATTGCTTGAGCGTAACCTGTAGTTGATTCAGAAGGCCTCGTTGGCATCCACTCGATGGTTTGAGTCTACCAGGCACGCTGGAATGGAACAGTTTATACACTTTGTTTGGCCCTTTCCTAACCATGCTTGAATGTGTTCTCGTACTCTTTTGGACAAGCGACGGCTCGTGCGCCCAATATATCCTGCCCCACAGGAGCAGATAAATGAACATATGCACATAGAGGGGGTCTGGGCTGGCAGTTTACCCTTGATCTCTCAGTATAGGATGGGAGTAGTCCAGAACAGTACATGGGCGTTGGCTGCTGGGAAGGTGGTTGCTACAGCTTGACTCAGGCGCCTTCTTATAAGTTTGCTTGGTTTGTCCTCTTGAAATGAGAATCTGGCGAATATTTGCTTATTCTCTGCTTTATACTGAGAGTTCTGTCGGTCTTTCAGCCATGTTCTTGTCGACAAATCGACTAGGAGACCCATTTTGTCGAAACACGCCTTCAACAATGCTTAGCTTCTCTTTGATGCTATCAGTCGAGCAGATCCTTTTCACCCGTTGCGTCAAATATCGTACTAAATTACGTTTGAAGTTTAACGGTACGAAGCTAGCAAAATGGATGTATTGCCCGGACCACGTCTTCTTACGATATATTTTACGTTGAATACTCCCACTTACCCTTTTACTCAGTAGTACATCAAGGAATGGGAGCAATCCCGATTTTTCTTCTTCTAGTGTAAACTTGATAGACGGGTGCGCTTGGTTTACTGTATTCCTTAGAGCTGAAAGGTTAGTCTGGTCTGATGCAACCGCGAATATATCATTTACGTAACGTTTTTAGTACGTCAAATTATATTTCTGGTGTCTAAGTTGTGCAGCTTCTAGTTTGCCTATGAATATATTTGCTAGAAGCGGACGCAGGGGCGAGCACATAGCCAATTGCCTGTAAGTGTTTTTTTTTAGAGAAAAATGTTTGATTCAGAAAGGAATATCCTAAATTTTTAGCAAAAATGACTCCATTCACGGAGAGCAAGGGATCAGGTAAGTAAGTGGTCATGGTAAAAGGTCAAAGGTAACAGGTCATAGAATACTCAAAAAATAGAAATGATTCAATACCAGGAATGAAACCTGTTTAAGTGAGGTGAATTTGTGAAGCCGACTTGCGCAACCTCCAAGCGAACTGACTGTCAGTGTTACGATTACAGTACGTTGTGAAATAAAGTGAAATGTAGATGAAAGAGTAGGTGAAGATGTTGAACGGAAGCTAATATGAGGCAACCCGTGTAGCACTTCTAAATCCTTGAGCTAAACTATGCGTACAGTCTGGCCTAAAAGCCGTGCAACATGCCGACATATGCCTAATACAGCAGTCGCCGGCTATTAAGCCCACCTCGGGCCCAGACAAAATTGGGCTTAATAA